AGTTCCAAACAACAAACAAAACATTACTATTGTTTTCATCGATGTTGTTGTTTTTTGTTTGATTCGCCCATCTCTTTCACTTACTTACAATGGCTTTTACCAAAACATCATAATAATCGATCATACACAATCAAAAACACCACCACTAATCTAATCTGCATATTGAATTCTGTTCTTTGATTTTTCAATAGGATTCTCCACTTGAACAACAAAAATTCATATTTGATTTTGGTAATGAATCATCTCTATTCATTCAAAAAATCTATAGCCTTTGGTCATTAATCAAAAACGAAATGAAATGAAAAAATCTTTGTTTAAAAAAAACCAAAAAATTTTGTTTTTCAACAAATTCTCTCGATAATTTTTTTTTCTGCAAAACAAACATTGATGAAAACAATAATGATGAATTCTCAAGTGTTCGATTCAGATATTTTTCACTTTCGCTTTGATCATTTGATTATGAAATTTTTTTTTTCATTTTTTTTATGAATTTTTTTTTTGTCGAGAGTTCGTTAACTTTATGTTTCTGTTTGCAAGTGATGGTGGGTAAGTGTGGGTTATTTTTTATTATAGTGGTGGTGATCCATTTGGGACACTATTGAACCACTGAAAAAAAAATCTAGCTTAGTTCTTCATTTTTTGAATAGAAATTGAATTTGTTAATGACGAAATGAATGAATGGAAAAAACCGACCGCAATGATGCGGGAAAATGATTTTGTGTGTTTTTGAATGATGAAAATATGAATATAATGTTCTCCTGCATCACCTAACATCATCGATGATGATGATGATGATCACACATTTTTTTTCTATCGAAAAGAATATTCAGAAAAGCTCATTTGTCATAATCAACAACATCATCATTTGAACATGTTTTTTGGTTTGGTTTTGAATTAGCTTAATGATGATGAGGATTTTCGGAGAGGGGAGATTCCAACATCGGATGGTAAGTTTCACATTGGATTTCTTTTTTGGTTCGTTTCAAATTTCATTTTTTTTGAATGATGCAAAAATTTGATAAAACTTACCTGGATATGGTACACATTCATTACAATTTTTACCACGCCAACCACTACGACATTGACATTCATCGGGTAATTCACAAAATCCATGCATTTCATTACAACCATTACGACATTTTGCTAAACATTAAAAAAAAGGTAAAGATTTTTATAAGATTTGAAAATATTTTCTTCTTTGAAAATCAAACATACGTTTATCACAATTTTCACCTTTCCAACCATATAAACATTGTTTATGTCCATTTTTCGATTCACATGAATAATGACCAAATGTATCATTACGTTCACGACAAAATGTAGCACAATCATCTGAATGATAATAATGATCACAATCGATACG